ATTACAAAAAAGGTATAAAAACTTTTGAATAAACAACGGGTTTACAGAGATTTCCAAACTGTCTCTCAATATTCAGACAAACAAATAGACGGGGTAGTATGTGTGTGTGTTTTGTAGGGGTTGCATGGTGCCCACCTGAGCTGCACTGGGGAAGAGAGGTTTGGTGACCGCTGGCTGGGCTGCTGGTGCTGCTTGTCGACTGGGTATGACCCCTGCTGCAGGGACTGGGGCCATGTGGGGCATCCCTGGCCTAGGGGCCATGTGGGGTGGCATTCCTGAGGAATTAACCAAATATTTTTCCATCAGTACATACAGAATAATTTAAGACAGGACTATAACAGAAAACGTACGCAAGGAGGCACGACTGGCACTCGTGTCTGAAATCCCTCCTTTAATGCGACCATTTTTAAACTGCTGTTGCTCTTGTGACATCAACACATTGCACTGTCTATAGATGTAAGCAATGTGAGCTACACGTTTAGTCATAAAAATTGGGCATCAGTGTTCTTATATATAGGAAAAACTCACCTGGAGGAATGCCTGGCATCCCTGGCATCATGGGAGGCATCATCCCTCCCATCGGCATCATCCTGAAAAAGCCAGTGAAAACAAACTGATTTGATGGAAAATTACAGCAAAGTCTCTATTTTACCCCAACACTAAGAATGGGTTAAAAACCTGAAAAGCATTAATTCCAGAATTCATGAGTGAGCTCTTACCCTGGTGGCATTCCATGCATAGCAGGAGGCATGCCGTGCATCATGGGTGGAACACCTGGCATCATAGGAGGCATTCCTGTAGATATGAATGAAGACATTTCATTACCAAAGATTCAACACTCCACATGAGATGCTACATGCCACAACAACTTTTGCCTGTTGTATCTGTTCCGTGCACTTAATTTTTCGCCACATCTTTTTTTCTTTATTGGGCAAGTTGCTTCTGAGTTGATTTCCAACTATTGCTGTTCCCTAAGAGGTCCTTGCCTTGATATCCTCCAGGTGGCATCCCAGGCGTGCCAGCTACAGGAGGAATCCCAGGCTGAGCCATTGGGGCAGCATAGCCTGTCTGGGGTTGAACAGGTGCAACCTGCGGCGCTGATGGTCCTGCTTCATCGTCGTCATCATCCTCATCAGAGTCATCCTGATTGTTTTTCTTTTTTTGGCTCTCTGCGAACAGAAAAAAATGCTTGCTTATACTTTCATCTGTATTAAATGAACCTTCTACAAAGTCCTGTAAGCTCAGTTTTAAATGATGCACACGTTCTTCAGTAAGAATGCAGCTAGAGATCATAAAATTAACAGGGAAATGAGTTTGAAGGATTTACCCTGCACTTTAACCAATATACTCCACTTCCTCTCATGGCTCACAATGCTACCTGATACCAGAAAACTTCCATGACCTTATATGATCAGGGTTAAATGACATACAATGTAAGAAATAATTTCATTCAGTCTCCTAGGCTTTAGTCCACAAATTTACAATCTCCCTGCAGGTGAACAAACCTTGTGATTTCTGTTCTAATGTCCGTCTTCTTTCCTGCATGTCTTTCTCTGGTATCCCCTCCATGCCATAGATTTCCAGCTCGATGTCCGTTCTTCCAGGAATAGCATTTGGTACACTGTCAATGGTCTCTTTGTGTACCTGCATCACATGTAAATTGAGTTAGAGCACACAATAAACAAGTACTGTTCATTCATCACCTACTTTTTGGCGACAGCAAACTGAGACAAAGGATAACTGACGAGGAAAAGGCACCAACCTGCATGCAGTGGATGGCCAAACCCGGGCCAGTGTACAACTTCTTGTGACAGATGTGGCATTTAAAATGCTTCGCCTTCTGATGCTGAATGAGGATCTTTTCATCGTCAAAGTCTCGATTGCAGTACCTTGAGCAATGAGTTAAAGATTGTGCTCGAAAACAAGAAGCATGAGACACCATGAAACAACAGCAAGTTCGCCAAGTCGAATCACACACAAGCCTCCAAATTAAAACACGAGGGGGGAACAACGATGTACATGTGTTCTGTTATCACTGCCTTTCCTGGTGTTGGTGACAAAAACACATCGTTTATCTATGTGGGTGTGACAACTTGTGACCAATGTTATCAAATATCCAAAGTTTTAAATGATAAACGTGTAATCTTACACATCACCGATAATGAGTTTAAACAAGTTAAAACATTAACACGCTTAACACGTTTAAACACACGTTAAAGCTTTAATCATAAACGCAATCAATCGCATATGCTAGCCGATTAGCTAATAATCAGTTTCGGTTTCTTCTTACCATCAACATCAATGTACCTGTATTCGCTGCTGTGTAAAAGCAACACACATCAACTGATGAGCAGACATTGCTCGTGGGTTGGATTAAATCACTTATTTTAGTCTAGTTTCCGACCTACGAAGACCAAACACTTAAGCTAGCGCTAGCCCAGAGACGCTTAAAACGCGGATGGGCTAGCTCAGGCCTTCCCTTTGTCCTGCTAACGTGTAGCTAATAGCATTGCCAACTCGGTGTTCAGCCACCCGGTGAAGAAAGGATACCAGCACCATGGCTTCATCTGCTTCTTCTTCTTCCGTCCCATGTCTGAGGAATACTGTGAAAGAGTTCTCACGACGCTGAACACTAGTTTATATTATCTGTTTGACAGTGGCATGCTGTCGTCCCGTGATGACGCCGAAAATGGCGCTAAGCTGGAGGAAGTTAGCTGGGATGCGGATGACGTCACACTCAAGTCTCGCGATGACAGGAAACAACAGACGCGAGGTTCCACGCGCCTCCTCTGGTTTAGGAGACTGACTGATCGATTATCAAAATGTGATCGATACTTAGATCACCCATCGATCCGAGTCAGACCAACAAGTCAGAGAGATTTCATTTAATGTACATTGTAAACAAGACAAATAAAACATGGAGGGGTGGGTGAAGTGTTTGAGTCCACAAAACACTTTTGGAGTTTCAGGGGTAAACAATGTTGCAGCCAAATCCAATACTATTCAAACGTAAAAATACAACAGGAAAAAACATAAAGTGCCTCCATGCTGCTCCAGTGGTGTCATCCAAGTGTCTTCATCCAACGACATTCAAATTTGACTGGAAAGTGTTATTTAAACCATGTTTTTAGTCTAAATGTCCTCTGTGATCAACGCACGAATATGTCTGAAATTCGCTGTCAGACTGTTTACATGGGCAAAAGATACCAGCAGGAGAAGGCTGCTGCCAGAGAAAACCAAAGATGCCCTAAAGGCCTTTGAGGGTTGGAAGTAACAGTGATTATCTGCAGACAGAAAGGGAAAGATGTGGAGGATTTCTTGTTGTTTGACGAACAGCCTCAGAGTCTGAGCTTTCCTCCTTCCCTCAGCTAAATATCATTTTGTTTCAACTGTGGAATTATTTTAAATAAACTGTTTATTTTCATTCATACATTCATTCGTATATATTCCAAAAAGAGCAAGGCAACAACTTATCATACCACTACATCTTGTCGTTCATTTAGTGTCCACTTGATGGGGACAACGTTGTAGAAATCTGATTCCTGCCTGGGTTTATTCATCAGTATCCAATCTGTGATATTTGTTGAGTATTCTCTTCAAAATTACAGAACAGAGGAATAAAATCTAATTTGAAAAAACATGCAGATGTGCTGTCCATAATAAGTTAGCACTTTTTTCTGGGGCTGTTTTTTATGAGCTTCAACATACAGTGACATTATATACAACAGTGTGCATTTAACGTGACTGTGTCAGTTTGGAGAAACTACTTCTCCTGTTTCAACATGACAGTGTTTGAACAAACCGAGTTCCTTACAGAAATTGACTGACCTGGACAGACCCCAGCCCCATTCAACAGCTCTGGGAGGACCCTCTACACCACTGAGCTGAGTCCTCTCTCCTCCCACCTCAGGGGATGACCTCCCTGATCCTGTTGTGACTGAATGGGAGCAAATCTTTGCAACCATGGGGTCTGAAATCTTGCAGAAAATTCCCCCAGCAGAGCGGGGACGATGACCACCTGTGGATCAAATGCTCTTGTGTCCACATATCTTAGGCCACATGGTGTAACAGGAATTGATGTATTTATTTACACTTAAAAGGGTCCTTTCTTTAAGCAGGAAGAAGTGCAGGGGCACAAGCCCTCTCTGATGTTTATGTGTTATTGTGCCTCCCTCCTCTGACCTTCTCTCTTCCATCTTCCTCTCACATCCAGATTCTGGTTTTTCCTCTGTAAAACAGAACCACATTTTAATAAGAGCTGCCTTCAACGAGCAGCATAAATGCTGAGACACTATGAAATTCATCCAGACCTATTCTCCCTCTGTGCAGCTTCTCATGTCCTCTCTTTCTCACCAAGGTGAATGATTACCTCTCATATTGGGGATTCATGATGTGGAAACTCAACGGAGGCGGCTTTCCTTGGTCGCCTGATGAATTTTTCATTGAACGCCTTTGAAAGCTATGCTCTCCATATGGTTTCAATGGCTAGACAGCGGAGACGTTCTGTGGCAGCTTAAGGGGGTCCCCTCTCTCAATGAATTATGGCCGATTCTGGTGCTCTCACATATTCCATTGATCACTTTGACGTGTTTTATTTTTCACAAAGGCTCTTAGACCTGGCTCTCCACTCTGGGACCCTGAGCTCTCTCTAAACACTGGGTTTAGATTTGAAGCTAATCTGGTTTCAAGGCTGCAGACCTGCTTAGTTTGAGAACATTTCTTTGCACAACAGTGGATAATTCCTGTCGCTGGATGTTGAATAAAACTGGTATTTGTGTGACCTGAGATGAGGTCACAATGAGGTTTTTAGCAGGTTGACTGAGTTTAAAAGATTTATAATCCTGCATTCATATACATAGAAACATGCATCTTTGTCCATCAGCAGAATTTTGTGAAAGACATATCTGTAAACCTATGGTCAGATTTAAAACTGGTATTATGTCTGAGTTGCATCAGCGTCAGTCAAAAAAATCATAATCATATTTTGTTTGTGTATAAAACAGTTTAATGAATCCTGTATGTACATATCAAATGTACAAAATATGCACACTGTTAAAATATTCACTCACTCAGTTTAGTGTATTATATACAATCCCAGACCATCTTTAGAACCATTATTTTTTTAAATAGGGTGCATACAGGATATAGCTAACATATCACAATATAGACCGATCAAACAATTTGTACAACATACCAATATCACTATGTAAAAATAAAACAGCAAATGCATGTTAAAATATTAATCTGTATTTAATCATATTATATTAATGTCTGTGCGAAGCAGGTACCAGTGTAGCATGAGGTTACAGTACAGTAAAGTTTGACACTTTCTATCCCAGTTTGATCAATTAACAATTTCAAGTTGTGACAGGAACTAATGAGAGAGCATTGATTTGCTTCTTCACCACCGCCTACTGAACTGAGAGTGAAAGGACTCCAGCCCGGATGTAGTCGAGGTCAGGCGTGTGTGTTTTTCTACGTTTGGTAATGAGAAAAAGACCCAATTGCCCTCATGGGTGAACGTTTTAATTTGTTTCATCCCACTGACCTCAATCCACCACATCACCAATCAATAAATAAACATCCGTCACTTGTTTGCATTTTTCAAACATCACAAAAATCACAGCTAATGACAAGAGTTTGATTCCACTCCGGTGCTGTTCCACGCTCATCTCTAAATTAAATTTCCTTACACAAAAGCAATACTTATTTCCAGGTGTGATCTTCCCCCTGGTGTTGGTTTGGCATCATTTTTTAAAAAAAAAGTCTGAATTGGCACTTCTGCTTCTCTCTGTTTTTAAATCCGTACACACACGATGTTAACAGATGTTACACTCCACACACACAACACACACACAAATGTCAAAGAGAAAAGTTAGAGTTTCATAGAACGCTGACCGCATATCAATCCTCCTCTTGGGATGTGCCAGAAGCTGAAGGCAACACTGAACAGCAACCTAGACCTTACTTCAAAGGTAAATTCACAATGACATTTGACTGCTAGAATCTATATATTCCACAATCTCTCTATACTGTGAAACTTGAAGAGGTTTCTTCATTTAAGAGCATGGTCTTTCAGTTTAAAAGCAGCTTATTGATTTCACATCCAGATTTTGTCATGCTGTCACTCAACCCTGCGCCGGCTTGGATTTTTTTGACAGTCTAACCACTAGAATGCCAGGTGTAGTGTTGACAAATGAAAAAGTCCCGCCCTTGTTGTGAGTGTTCGCTATATTTTTTGGACAGTCCTTAATAGGCGGTTACTTTAATGCACTCCTGCCCTCCATGGCCTTCTTACTACACCAGCTTCCAATCTGTTTGCTTGAAGAAAAAAAACAAGGACACCTTCAGTTCGCTGGTCACCTTCAGTTCCCTGGTCCACATGGAAAAGCTACATCAATTAATTATTATTTTTTCACTAAAAAAAAACAAAAACCAACAGCAAAAGGAACGACAATGACAGACTTGTTGCACAAAAAATAAAAGCATGAGAAAAAACCAAAGAGCAAATGACAAATCCAAGACTAGACGTTTCCCACGTGCACGGTAGTAGTGAGGGAGCGTGAGGAGAAGAGCTGAAGAGCTGAAGCTGGAGTGCAGGAAATCTGTCCAAGCAACAAAATATCAGAGAGATAGTCCACAGTTTGAGCACAAGCAGAGCAAATCCAAGCACAAGCAGCGGCTACTTGAGTGCAAGCACAGGGCTTTGAGTGAAAGCATTGCAAAATCTGAATGTGAAATCAATAATTTCTGCTCTCAAACTGAAAGACCACACTCTTTAATAAAGGATAGAAAAAAAACATACTTCTTTTCCTTCTTATTAGTGACCTCATGTGTTATTAGCTGCTTGTAATGATGACAAATCCCCAACAAAGCCTACATTCTCATAGTACCTCATTCTTTCTTTACTGATGAAGAGGGCACAGGCAGACAACCGGATGTTTTGGAACTTGTTTTGTCTGAAGACAGTTGTTGCTGCCATCACCCTGCACAAGAGGCAACTGTGCAGAAATACTTTCAATAAGCTGATGTCGCCAGTAGGCACTGTTGGACTGAGGAGGAGGAGGCAGAGCAGGTTAAGCCACGTGGATTGGGCCTTTCCTGCTTCTTCTTGTTGTGTTAGATCCGAGGCTTCTCCTGTTGTCAGCAAACGTCCCACAGGTTGATACTCTTGAGCCGAGCATCCAACAGAGATGAGAACAAAGAGCAGGTGGAGGTAAACTTGGCGATGGTAAGGCTTAGCCTCAGATGTTGCAGGTGGGATGAAAAATGTATGATGACAGAGAGTCCTGCAGCAAGTCGGGAATCCCTGTATCAGAGCACTGGATGTAGAGGTGAGGTGGCTGTTCGACAACTCGGATTACCCCAAGATGAAGCAACAACGAGGGGTGAGGTGACTGATCCAGCGGGGCGGTCAGACCTCTACTGATGGAGGAGTATAGGGGGATACAGTGTCTCATCTGCCTCTAATAGTCAAGTCACGGCGGCGGGGGCAGTCTCACGTCGAGCAAGCTGTAGGCGAAAATGTTCCAAAAGACGGCGCAAAGAACAAACAAGGTGTAGACGCAGAAAAAGATCCAAAACAGGGACTGTTCCTGGAGCCGCTGCTCGTAGTTCTGCAGGACCACCACGCCCAGCGTCAGGCCGACCACCACCCCTCCCAGGTGCGCTACAAAGCTGGGGTTGGGGCAGGGAGGAAAGGCCGGCGGGTAGAACCGCAACCACACCGCCCGACCAAACTCTACACTCACTGTGAGCAGAGGGGAGAGAGAAAAATATGTCTGTAAGCTGTATATTTAACTCCTGATAGCTATGCTTATATATCAAAATGTAATTAAACAGTCATTTGTTTGAGGCGGAAGAATTAGTGCTGCTACATATCAACAGACAAATCCTATAAGTTGAGCTGAAAGTGACGTGTGGAGAAATTATTGAGACTTACTGCACACCAGAGCCATTGCCATCCGGAACAGCTTAAACTGACACTTCATTCCAGACCAGTTCTACAAAAAGAGAGAGAAATGACGGAGTATTCAGGAGGACATTTTCACGTTCTTATGAAAAATAGCAAACTGTGCAAGAAGGTCAAGTCATCCTTAGACACACACAAGCTGACACGGGTGCAACCCCAGAGACGCTGCGACCCTCAAACTGTTACTACTGGGTTCCAAAATATGATTTCAGATGAAAGGAGAAAGACAAGCTCCTCCATCCTGACCCAACGGATGTTATGGAGGATTTGCCAAGTATGTGTGTGTGTGTTTGTGTGTGTGTGTGTGTGTGTGTGTGTGTGTGTGTTGACCCACAGAGGACAAGGGCCAAACAGAGCAGGCACAGATGTCAAAGGACATCAGAGAGCGGTGAGATGAGATTTCCTCTCCTGCAGTCACTTAAACATGTGCACACGCTCATACACTTTTCTGATCTTTGCAGGGAAAGGAAAAAAAAAATCAATGGTGATGGCGAGGAATGTTTGGCATCTGTCGATAGAGAGGCACCTGCTGGGCCCCAAAACAGACGGCTCTGATGATATGGCAATGCTCTGGAGTGATGCTGAGTGATGTGATCACACACGCACGCACACAGGTGTCTGATGTCACATGATATTGATGGTGATGATGCTACTCACTAAAACACAAGAGTAATTCCTCCCTCTTATCACACTTGGACAGTATTTGCTATGTCTGTTGTTTCATTGCAGGCCAGACAATACAACATTTCTTGTGGTGTCCTTAAGTGATTATCAATGTCTTGTGCCACATCATTAATCTACTCTGCAACCACTCTTTGAGACAAACTGATGCTTAGGAACAATTTAACATAGATACAAAGACTAAGACTTACCATTACAACATTAGCCAAGTGCGCTGAGACCAGTGCGTACACTCCCCCAGATGACCCGACCACTGGAGCCGTCATATCAGTGACGGACACCGCCAATGACCCTGTAGTGATGAGGAAAGTCACAAGTTGGTAAAGTTATTATTTTGGTCTATTAACAAATTGAACATTAAGGCATTATCCACACCATTAATAAAAAATTATAAATGATGACGTTCAACAATATGGAAGTTGCGGCATCAATTAAAAGAGTCAATGTGTGTACAACTTGAAATAATGACAATAATGTCGTTTGGGGCATTTAGAGGAGCATTTTTATTTCAAGTGATCCGGCAAACTTGTTCACCAACAGTTGTTTGTGTACAAGAGCAACATAACCTTTTATTCAGAGATAAAAATATCCCAAAACAAATGTAGGCCTTTTCTGGCAACCATGCAGAGCTGAAGGTAAGGTGTAGCCTGGAAGAGAACCTAAAGTGTCCCAGGTGTCATCATTCCTCCAGGTATTTTGGCCCGGATGACACTGTGGCAGTTTGAAATCTAAATGGTGGGTTCATTTTAATTCTGGCTCCTTATGACTGTGACAAACCATCAAGACAAGCATATGACAAGCTCAATTAAAAAATGCTTTTACTTGACACTTGATGAATTTAAGTCCAGAATTCAGCCTCTTATTCAGTTTTTGGTGTCGACCAACTCCTGAGGGAGATGTCATGTTCTTCAGCAACAAAACAATGTTCTATGTTCACAAGCTAAACTTTTATGCCGGCACTTTGGCGCTGAGCAACTGACAGTGAATGTATTTTAGATGTTCATAACTGAAACATCTGCCTGCAGGTGACAACGATGCTTTGAGAGTGGTGATGAGCTGAAACATCTAAAGAGCAGGAGAACTTCAGGGTCAGGTGATTATTCTCTGGGGGGTTCTTGTGTTTGCTGCATTCATTTCATCTTCCACAATAGAAACTCAGAAAAAAAATATTTGGACAGCTGTCATCCATGCCAACTATAGGCACACAACCACAGACCTGAAGGTGAGAATGTTTCCTTGACTAGATGAGATTTGCTCATTCTGGCAGAGAGCCATCTATTTTGTACGACATAAAGACTTTGCTGTGCTACTTGCTATTTAATGTGGGTATATTATAAACAGGTTTTCATGAATAGAGGCCTGTTCTTACTGTACCAGCACATGCTGTGATTTTATGTAAAACAAATGCATTCACACAAACCCCCCCCACGGCTGCCACAAACAGGGAATTGCTGTCTCTGGCACCTTGGTACCAATTCATCACACACATAAAAGATCCAATCAAGCACTGAAAAGTTTAAATACGAGGACATTCAGAGGCAGCGTCACCAGCAGAAATGTGTTCTCACTGCAGTCTTTGTACAAGAACCAGAATACAAGAAAAAAGCAGATAGAGAAATCCTCAGTTTGACTATTCAATTAACACAAAAGCTGCTCTCTCTCTCTTTCTGTTGCACATTTTCTTTCTGTTTCTCTCTCTCTCTCTGCATACACTCATTCCACTTTTCAATTCTCCATATAGCTGTTCCTCCACAGCACAGACCTGTGTGCCTTAGTGATGCTAAGTATACATTGCCCATGTGGTATTGAGAAGTTGATGAATGGTCATTACACAAAAATTACCAAAATGCATGTATTTTATGATATTATATATATTATATTGCGAGAGGCATAGAATTAATGATGTCTGATCTACTGAGCAGACCACATGGCTTTCATATTTCTACAAGCCAGTAGCCAGTCAGATTTACCTTTAACCTCAGCGTACCCTCAGGCTCGGCTTTTAACGCTGTTAATGTTGAAAGCTCTGTAAAAAAATCTAAATTGTGATTCTTTGACCAGGATCCCCGCTGAAACAACTCTACTCTCATCTTTTCCATAATTATTCCTAATCCCAAATCCTCGCAACAGTAATTCAGGGGAAATAAACATAAACAAAATCAGTGGGCCCACTGAGTGATGGACCCCATGCAGACAAGCCTGTAGGATTTCTGTGTAAACTTGCCAAGCTCAGTCCTCAAATAGCTGCAAAATCAACCGACTAAGCTTTAGTGATGCTCAGCTCACATTTAGCTTCTTCCAACCAGCTACATGTAGTCTCTCTCTGTCTGTCTCGTCCTCTAATTACAGACACACAGGTATATCACATTGTAGGCAAACTGGATATGATTACAGCAGACAGTAAGAGCTCTGAGGTGTTTAGATATCAAATCACCATAAGGTGGGATAATAGGATAAGTCATGTTAGCTCGATCATAATGTAATGCGCGCACACACGCAAGCATGCACGCACACATGCTCGCACGCGCGCGCACACACACACATATTCAGAATTCCCTTGATTCCCATGTCCTCACAATCGCCTCATTCTCAATCTGAGAAACAAAACATGGGGGCAAAAGCTGAACCGGATTCATTAAAATAATAATAATACCATTACTCTGAAAACACAGAATATTAAATATAGTGTGATAACATCCTCTACAGATTTGCATTAACTGACCATCCATCAGTCCATTATCTTTACCGCTTATCCTCTGATGAGGATCACTGGTGGCTGGAGCCAGTCCCAGGGTAAGAGGCGGGGCATACCCTGGACAAGTTGCCAGTGTATTGCAGGGAGTATGGAGAATACCCACATACACACAGCTTGAACCCTGAACATTCATGTTTTAAGCTGATAATGCAAACCTTTGTATTACCATGCCGCTCCATAAATTGTCCAGTTTGTGAGGAGGCAGATTTGCCCAAGATTGAGAAAAAGAATGGGGGGGACAAATGGTGGGTGGTCCTGAGGGACTTCAGTGATGGGTAGAGAAAACATTTCCACATATCTACATCTGTGTTCATCAACTACGCCGCAACACAGCAGCTGCCCCACGTTGTAGCATCAAGACGGAGGAGAGAAGGCTTCAGCGATTTATTTACAGAGTTCTAAAATCCATCCAGTGTTTGCCATGTTTGATGAGCCTTCAGGCTGCACTGAAATCATTCAAAATGATCACGGATAAGCCCTACTGTGTTTCAGGTCAGTGCATTTTCAGAACAGTGTGTGATTGAAAGTGAATTAAAAGGATATTTTAAAAGCTGCAACTGACATTCAGCACCAAATAGGAGTTTCCTCTTCTTCTTCCTAATGTTTGGTCTTTGCAGGTGTGTGAACCATAATGACAGCACACTAAGGTGGTGTAATGACAGCATCTGACTCACCGCAACATTAAACACGGTACAGTCATCTTAGCAGCTCGCACACACACAAACAGACAAACACACACCCACGCTCACTTGCATTCTGTTTTCTTCTCTCAAAGCGGTGCCGGAAAATTGATTCATGCAAGAATCAAGGTTCTTTTCTTTTAGGAACCATCTGTTGGTTACCATTACGATACAACGTGCACACGGCACAAAACAATGAAAGAAGGCAGCGATTAATCTAGAATTTTTAAATCCACCATCTATTTTAAATATCATTGTAAACCGGCACAAAGATTTCCCCTACCATGGTTACACCCTTTTAATGGATGGTACAGTATAATGCTTCCTTCCTCTATATACACACACACAGACACACACACACACACGCTGAAACACTTGATTTAAGGCATCTCCACCTTCGTCGTTTCTTTGCTTAGGAAGTGTGTCTCGGCAGGTGACCTCCATCCCTGTAATTAACTTGGTTTAATAACATTATTTTAGTGTCTGTGTCTGTGTGCTAACCAAACACACACCAGACAAGGACACAGTCGCTCATAGCTCCTCATCAGGCCCCAGGAGGATAGGGTGGTATTTTATTTAGCTTTGCTGCTTTTCCAAGCTTCAGAGAATGAAGTCGTTGAGTCGACTAAATCTTCAAAGTCATTAAAGTGGTGTTTTATGTGTGTGCCACTCCGTCACTGCCGCTCCCAACCCCTAACAACCCTCATGTGTCAATAGCTGAGGGTTTCACTTGTGATTTGTGGGATTCTGTCTGTTCTTCTGTTTCAATCTGTTGTTGTGCACTTGTTCTTGTTCGCTGCAGAGTCCATCCTGTGCTCTTTGTACAGGCAGAGCCCAGTTTTATTGTGTCTACTGTGCGGTGGAGAGAAAACCGCTGTGTTTACACACAAGTCCATTGTTTCCATTAAAGTGTCAGAGTGTCTGTCGGCCTTGGAGGGTCGTTGACCTCTCTCTGAGTCATTACTTGACCCTGAACTCTGCCTCGGCCCCTGAAAGTGCCAGCTGAGCCCTCCTCTGTTCACTTATTGCTTGTTGTGTTTCTTCGCACACTCCACCAGTGTCATTATATACTAAATGTAAAGTTGTTAAAAATGCAATGAAAAAAATGCAGTGAAATTATCAATGCATACTTCCACTGAGATTCTGAATATTAGTTTTCTTGATTTCTTGTTTTTAGATTGAAATAATTTCCCAGTGAATGTTAAATTGTGTTCAGACTGATTCCAGTTGACCAAAAGCAAAAAAAAAACCCATAGTCAAACACAACAAACCCAAACATCACAGCCAAAACAACCACAAGGTTCTTCCCTGCCTCCACTGGGGGTCGATATCTAATTAAAACAGCAGACTGTGTGAGTGTGTGTGTGTGAGCTGGTCTGTGTGTGTACATTAGTGTGTGATTTATGGCACGTTTCCTCCTCAATTCACTATGTCAATGCTATAGGCCACCACATCTGGTATCCCCAGGGTGTTCGTGACTGACCCCTGCTGTACCCCCCCCAGTTCTTCAAGTGAATCTAAAAGTGTCAGCCCCGGGAACTAAATAAAAAAAAAAGATCAGAAAGAAAAATCCAACCAACCCTGCAGGTGAATGACTTTGCTGGTGTTTGTTAGTGTGTACTGAAAAACCCAGCTCATGATGACACAAAGAGAAACAAAGGCTCACTGTCTCAGCTAAACAAGATTGTAACCGCACCAGTGCCTCAGGTTGATAGAGAAGTCAGAAGAGAGCGGGGACATTTTGTTATAAGCTGTGTGTCTTTCATCTGCAGTTGCTTGGTTGCCCCCCCCCTCCTCTCTTCTCCTCTCCTCTCGTCTCCCAAATTTGTCATATCCTGGTTCCCCTCTCAGACTTATTAACACTTATGAATTCATCTCCCCTCCTCATCTCTTCTCTCTCTTCATCCCGGCATCACCCCCCTCACTTTAAAAGTCATTATTACTGTGTGTATGTGTGTGTGTGGGTGCGTGTGTGTGTGTCGCTCTGATTGAGCTCCATTCGAGATCACTCTTTTTGCTCTCTGCTATTGTTCATGGACATAGGGGGATTTGGGTGCTTTGATGGGGCACTGACAACCCCCTACATCCCACCACATCTGGTCCCAAGACTGAAACACAAGGCCATCTGTCCCTTACATGACACACACGCTCAATTTTTAAAATGAATGTTGTTAAGGTTAGAGCTAGTCTCCAGGAAATGAATGTAAGTCAATGTCATGTAGTTTGAAGTAAGGGTGACACGACAATGTGTGTGTGTGTGTGTGTGTGTGTGTGTGTGTGTGTGTGTGAGACCATGCACTCACCTGCAAGCACACCACATACGTAGACGAGTCCGATCCTCAGGGCCCCGTGGACCATTTCTAGTGGGACTCCCACCAGCAGCTGCATGGCCATGTTCAGGCTTAGGTGTTCAATGCTGTAAAATGCACACATGCACACACACACACACACACACACACACACACACAAAGCAAAATTTACTTTAAATAACTGTAAATTAAAAGAAAACAAAAACAACCAAATAACTTGAAAATAAAAACAAAAATAAAGATTTTTTTTCACATGAAAAATAAACCTAAATGCACATCTTTTCTACATGTTTATTCTGTCTGATTTTATTATTAGTTAACATAAACACTGATACCAATCTGTCTGTGACAGGCTCATATCGACCAATTGTTTATCAGCCATCTGATAAATCGATATGTGCTCATTTTTATTTTAAAACATCCCCTTCCTGTTCCCTCTATTTGCTTGATCACACAAGTGTGCACGCACACACACACACACAGAACATCTGCTCCTTCATCATCAAACTGCGCTGTCTAGACCATCATGGCTAGTCATCATCCCTCTAATGTACTCAAACATTATATAAGGACACAGACAGAGGCACACATTGAACACACACAGACACACACACACACACACACACACACACACACACACACACACACACACACACACACACACACACACACAGTCACACAGTCACACAGCACGGTAAAAAGATTAAAACCATGCGTATCGGCTGCACATTTATCCAAATTCGTTAACTGCTTATGTTTCAGCATGATGACTATAAGCAAGGGATATCTTACACATATACACACACACACTCCCTGTGCCCTTCATGGCTCGAAATGTCCTTCTAGCCAAACCTCAGTCAGCAGCTCAGACACTTTCGGGTGTCACAGCACAAACCAAAAGAACAGCAGCTAGCATAATCCGGCCTCCCTGTCTCTCTCTCGTCTCTTCCTCTCTCAGCCTCTTTCATCGTCTCTCGCTCACTACAACCACTTCCCTCTGTCTGAATTATACTGACATCTCTGCTGTGCTGAAGAAGAGACGACAGAAAGAAAGAGACAGTGAGGGAGAGATGAGACGTTTTGAGGAGTCTCCGTATTCATCATTTCGACAGTTTTGACTGAGTGAATCGTTGCATCCTGATGATGATTTGTGATCAAAACAACAACAAACAGCTTCAGCATCATTGTGGAAATAAATACGCACATCCCCAAAACAGACGCACACGCACACACTAACACACAAACAACTCTCCCAACACAGACTGTGAAAAACATGACAAGGCCAATGATCTATTTCAGTTGAAATGAGTCAGCCACCTAAACTACAATGTCGATATGGTGGATTGTTCCAGCGATCAGACAAACAATGGGCCGTATTGACCGGCTGCGAGAGGCCTGTCCACACGCACAAGGACAACTCCGCTCCAGATAACAGCGGCTATCTATTCCCGTACTGCTAATGAGTCTATGAGGGATGGTGTCCATTGTCAGGCAGATCTGTGGATACACATGAGAGGTCCTATTGTGTCTCCATGACCACGGCAAGAGCATTGTTTCATCCTTTTTTCAACTAGAGCTGGACTTTTGTTCAGTTTGCTGCTCAATTCTTGTGATAAACTCATAAGAAAACCTTAAGAAGCTTGTTTGAGATGGTCAATGTCAACACTCAACGAGCAGATGCATTGGCTGTGGAGGGACGATGAATGGTTGATGAGGGGAGGACTGAGGTGCAGATGTGTCTGATAGGCCATGAGAATGAGATTGAATGAGAAGAGGATGAAGGGATGAGGGAAAGGATCAGCAAATGGAGGGACGAGGTAGAAAGTTGAATGGATGAAGGGAAAGTGTGGGTTGATAATACTGAGAAACAGAGCGTGATCTGTATGTTCGTAGGTTAGAGGTGTGGCTGAGGCATGGCCTTGGTCTTTAACCCAAGTTAAATTAATTTACTGTTTACTTTTGTTGGACAAACCCTTCATAATGAAGACAAACTGCAAAGAAATATTTTCCTGCTGCTTCTTGCTGTTTAAAGTCATGGTTTAATCTTGCACAAAGATAATCTTCCTTAGGTTTTCACAGCTCCTACACATACACACAGTTTAGGTGCGTGTGTCTGTGAGTGGAAGAGTGTGTGTTATGTGTGTGTGAGTCGAGACAAGCGAGTAGACAGAGAGAGATTCTGCTCGCATCATGCTACTCTGCTGAGGGATGTTGGGACCAGTGTGTACACTCTGTCTTAGTGTTGAGAATTGCGAAGGATCAGTGCTGCTGAGCTGTTGACAGGATTACATGGTTTGTAGATGTGTGTGCGAGTGTGCCCTTGCATAGATGTGTGTATGTGTGTGAGAGAGCAAGAGAGAGGGAGAGAGAGAGAGAGAGAAAGAGAGAGATGGAAAGGTGTGAGAAAGTCAAAAAAGTGTCCTTTTTAATGATGTAAGCAGTGATTCAGTCATGAAGAATTTGAAAAGGGATCACACAGTGTTATTCCTCTTCTTTTGTTCAGGGTCATTTCACTGTGGCACCAATTTTTTATCATTCTAACCCTAACCCTTGTGAATTACAGGCAAATAAAGAGTGAGATTTTTTTTAACACTTGTATGAATCTCAACATTAACACTGTGACGTACTGCCTCAAAAAACTGAGGCAATATTAATTTATTTTGATTTTTTGATTATTTTTCCCTTTTCATGTTTTGGCACTTGTGGAGACCCAATGCTCATCATCTTTGCTCTGCTAGGATTTATTAAGATGTGCACATACATGCAGAATAGTTACATATGTGTCTGTCTATGTCTATGTGTAATGTGACTCAGTGATCAAAGGTTGAATTGATTTTCAGTTGCTGCTGAAACTGGACTGATATAAATAGCTGTGTTTTGTGTGGAGAAACATTCGACATGAGGGAAAAAAGAAACTAGTCTGAATGTGTACGGCTAATGGAAAACGGAATCTTGGACCAGATTTCTGCTGTCAGCACCAGAAGCTCCAAAATATAGAAACCCAGAGGCTGATTGGTCGTCAGACGATAACTGTTGGGCTCAGAGGATGTACCATGTACCAACTGCTCAATGTTAAACAGCCATAACCAGCAGTAAGTGCATGAAAATTAATTTGTCATCAAGTTGTGTTACAGATAAACAAACAGCCATCAGTCAGAGTTGATGAGGCACGTTCAAACACCAACATAATATACCTGATACGATTTTTTTTTAAATTGGTGATACATTTTCCATGTCATTAATTTGAAATTATACTTTTAACATCTGATGGGAGATAAAGAAAGAGATGGTTCCCACAACCGATGGTTGTCCACTAGTTGTTTCTGTTATTTTGTCCACTCTAAGTTCAACAGCACTGTGAGCTCTCAAATTCAGTATCCTGGCTACTTTGAATAATCAACAGAACTCAAGAGTTGTCAGTATGTGAGTCTATAACATACCATACATTTCTCTTTTTATTACAGCCACTTCCTCTGAGGGCCTAAATCATTTCACCATGTTCCAGTGCCATCGATGCATGTTAAACATCCCACCGCCCTCCTTTTATCTCTCCATTCACCCATTCTGTAGTTTATCTCTCCACCACACACTGTCATCTCTACTGCTGCCGTCTCTGCTGTCATAATTAAATTACCTTTTTATTAGTACTCACTATTGCCTGAGACTACATTTACCCAGAAGGGTAATTAAACCTGGATGACCTGGACTGAACTGATAATAAAATAAGACAATGGGGAGGAGAGGAGAGGAGGAGAGGAGAGGAGAGGAGAGGAAAGGGGAGGGGAGAAGAGGAAAGGTTTCTTTAGAGAATAGAGTAGGGAAAATAAACGATCCCCACCCTCTTATGTGACAGCAGCATTACAGTGAATACACATTACACCAATAATCCAATAATAATAGCTTGTTTGAAAATTTGATACTTTAAGAGTCCCTCAAGTTTATTTATTCCTTGTTTTTTTGACAGAAACTGAATACATCAAATATTATATTGCCAACTGCAAACTAAGACTCAAATAAACTCCTTGCACAACCCCATCTCCTATTTCTTATCTTCATTTTCCCACTTTCAGTAATTAAATTTGCTCAGTGTACTTTCAGAGTATATGTCTGCTGATGAAGTAACAAGCTCTGGTTCACTTCAGTCTTTCAGAAAATACTAATTTTCAACAACCAAATCTGAACCTGAACCATCACAGATACAGAACCTGAATGTGTATGTCATCAAAAGTAATATCATCCCTGTGGACCAGTTCATGTCATGTAAAGAAAGGCATTTTCAACATTTTAATATTAGAAGGTGACAGTAAGAAATGATAAAGCTCATAATGAGAAATACAACTCTGAGGCTTGAACTCACCCAGTGTGCATGAAACTGTAGCTGAGGTACCTCCAGGCCTGGGCTCGTAGCTGGGGGTGGTAGGGTAAGGGGCTCTTTAGGAATGACGGGCTGGACACCTGCAGGACCAAGCGGTCCAGCTGGAACCCGTAGTACATGAACACGGCTACCTGGAAGAGTGCAGAGTGACGAACAGGAAGTGAGTGAATTCAAGATTCACATAATATACATACTGAATGAGTTTAAAGAATTGATATTTCTTTTTTCTGCAGAAATATATCAAGGAAAGGTTTCTGACATTGATATTATTACTAATATAAAGGTACCATGTGAAGTTTTGATCCTCAAGGGCAATCCAAAGCATTCTGATAAAATATCTGCACAACCATATTTTGACATTTTGAAAAATATTGAGATAGTTAGCTTCCTCCTATCTAACTTCTGCTGTTACATCACTTCGTTTCTTGCTGTTGATGCACTAAACTCTAAAAGTACAAATTAAACATAATTAATCACTTGTCACACTGCTCATACAAACAATTCACCTCAGCGATGGTGATCGCCAGGATGAGCAACGGCGGGGGACAGTAGGTGTAGCTGTCAAAGTACCACTTGCGGTCGACCTCGCGGGGCAGCGTCTCATAGGCGACGTGTCGGACCAGCCGTTGCGAGAGCCCCAGGCCGTCCTCATCCCTGAGACTGCAGCCTTTCAGCTGCCTGCTCCCCTGCAGGATGGCCCTCCGGAAACTATTGGAGCGCTTGTTACTCATCTGGAGAGAGGAGGAAGGGAGAGAAGAAAGTAATAAATGGGATGAAAAGGAGGTATGGAGAGGGAGCGGGTGAGGAGAAAGAGGGAGGCAAAGAGAAGACTAAGGCAAGAGAAGTGGGTGAGAGACAGGTCAGAGATTTTATGTATCTTTTTATCTATTTTATTATTTTCTATTCTCAGATTTCCATCAGTTTTTTTACGTTAATCTTGCTGTTTATCTGTATTTTATTTAACACATGAACAATTCAAGATAATGATGGAATGCATATTCATTAACTATTCAGTGTACAAGCCGAGCTTCAACTCTCTGAGCACAGGCCACACACATCAATCGTCCACACTGAAAGCCCTCTCCCTCCTCGCCGTGGCAACAGAATGCCTGTGTCATCACCTAGCAACCACCAAACTCTTCTCTTTATCCCTTTCTGTGAGTGAAGAGTTCATTTCTCAATACATATTTGTCTTTCCATCACAGATCTGCAGATGCAACTACATGATGCTTCTTTTCAAAGACCCTGTCAGTGTCTATTTTGATTAACTGCAATTATTTTTCTACCACAGGTGTCACATGTTTCAAACAATAGCTTCACATTTTGAAACTCCTCACACACTCATACACTAGAGCTCTGAAGATCGCTAGAAAAACTCGTAGATGTACAAAACAAATGTAAAACCATACTACTACACAGCACAGCAACCTATAGTGACAAAACACACATGATCTATTGAGCATAAAGGGCCACACACACACACAAACACTAATGTCCTATTTTTCATTGGCTCTCTCACTCACACTGTATAAATATAGGCAAGAAGAAATGAGAGGATCTACCCCGATACATACAAATGAATAATTGATAACCTATGGACATATAGGATGTTTGGATCGATTAAAATGTCAAGTTCAAATTCAAATAAAAAATGCTGAGACAGACAGAAAACTTTCTTTACCAAGCTGTTGGACAGGTTGTGTTTTATCACAGCTGTAACAGTCTCGGCTTCCAACCTAAATCACCGCTGCCTCCAAGCTTTGTGCCGTTTATTGCACTTGCTGTTTTATTTTATAAGACTCTCCATGACGATGCAATGACTCCTGATCTCCCTCCTCTCCCTTACCTCCCCCTTTTCTTGCATACACCCTGAATCTCTTTCTTTCTCTGCTGTTTATGTAATGCTCCATAACTCAATTCTACTGTTGTGTTTGTGCCTCTAGGATTGTGTCACATAGCAGATGTTATATTTAAGGACATAAGGAGGTTTTATTGTTTTCAGCAAGGGCAGAGATTTGTTGAAATGAGGAGAAATGTAACATCGCAGTTATTGGCAATAAAAGTACAATTAAAAAGTGGTTGGGTGCAACTATTGCAACTTTTAAAAGCTATACAACTTTAAATTGCCTCAAATGTTAAATGTGTAATGAAGCTTGGATTGATGTTTGTTCCAGTATTCTCACAGACGTCTCGGAGCAATAAGAGACTGCTTTAAAGATGACAGACAACTTGAAAAGTCATAGCTGCAATTCATATTCATGTTTAATTCAGAAGAAAAGACAAAAACAATAGTGGTGTGAGGACAGATGTAAAATCTGAACATCAATAAATTCTCTGTATGAGCAGTTGGCTGATGTGTGTGCTGGCACGGCTTAATGAGACTTTTAGTGTCTCTGCAGGGATCGCTGTTAGGAGATAAACTTCAGAAAAAAGACAATTATTTCAGCCTTTATGTCAGCCACAGAGAACTGTGGGAAAATGATTATGGGTTACCATGGCCACTTCCATACTAAAAGCAAATACACACTCATGCACACGCACTCACATACACACTTAAAGACCTCCCCCAGGCTGCCATGCTCCATAACGACAGTCAATTCTTTGTGTGAAGTGACTGCAATTCCTCTCCTCTTTGTACGACACAAAAGAAAGGATGACGCTCTGTCTGTTTACCCGATGGCCAGAGGAGAAGGGAGAGGAGGAGAGGTGAATGGGACAAATCGATGTTGGGGCAACAGGAGATTATTGCACCGTAAAATACAGTCAGATGAGAGGGACGTTAGTGAGAGAAAAAAAGAGGTGGAAAGATAAGGCGACAAACTGAAGAAAGAAAAAGAGGAAGATGAACAAGAGAGAAAGGGGGACCAAAGCAAGAGCAGCAGCGTGTTATCAACTTCAAAAAGATGTGGAAACGTAATATGTGATTGTTGAAAACCACTTTAAAAACAATTGAATGAGTTCAGTTAATCTGTTGCTATAACAGCTTCCACTCTTCAAATTCTGTGACTGACTATATGCGTCGTCTGCCCAAGCTCAAGGTCCAATATATCCTCCTGCTGGAATGGAATGGATTGTGGCATCAGGTATGAATGTGTGGAAAGCCAGACCAACACATACAAATGGTCAATGTATGTGTGACTGGAACAAGAACCAGACTCGGAGTGCAGGAAATATTGTCAACCGTTTAGCTCCAGCCCCATTGTCCTCTGGTGGCTGGCTGCAGCACACATATTTAACCCTGCCTTCTCCGTGTTAGCAGATGGGATATGGCTGAACTACTCAGTCAAAGTATATAATTTTTTTCAAGATGATGGTTTCTATCAATTTAGGTCGTTCTTATCACACTGTTTGTTCAAGTTTTTCGATTGTGTGTATCAACAGGATTTCCATATGACGACTCCACTTTCACTACTGCAGACTCTGGTGACACATGACGTCAAAAGTGCAAGATGCCGGCACCTGTAACTGATATATTTTGGCTTCGAAAGTGGTTAAAAAAAAAAAGTAAAAACCCAATGTCTTCCATCTTTGTTTCCAGTCTATGCTTGGTCCCATTGTAATTAACATCTGTCCGAGCACTGCCTTTATGAGTTTGGGAGCTGATGTTGGTCTGGTTTACAGTCACACAAAATCACACCAAAGGAGTCAGATGGGGTTGAGGTCAGGGCCCTGACCAGGACAGTCAAGTTCAGGAAGCATTTCTTCATCTGACATACTGTATCCAAACATTAGGATTTACCCTAATAAAACTAATGAGAACTAAGGAGTCTAGCCATAAACAAGAAACGGATACACAAACAGAAATAACAGGCACACACACCGCAAAAAAACAGAGTGTAAGTGCAGGTGTAAGCACGGGCACCAATCCATCTTGATCACTCCTCAATATCATCCTACTGGGGCAGAAAATAGAGCAGCTGAACCTCTCTGTAGGTATTTTGGGAAGTGTAAACCGGTTAGTGAGCCAGTTTCTGCCCAGGACAGTCGCGTGTATGTGAGAGATGTGATGCATGACAGAGAGTTAGACAGAATCACACGGATGGACAGAAAGAAGAAAGTGAAGTGGCACAGATAAGGAGGAGGCAGAGAGAAAAACAAGTGCTCATGCAAAGGAAGAAAGACAGAGGTAAAAGTACAGAGAGAAGAGGACTGAGCGGTGATTTGGATGCTGACTGTGACGGAGTAGTGAGCAGGTAATTACAGAGCTGTGGTGCAAAGGAGAGATGCTGCGACAAATAAACCCCTCAGAGTTTGTCTTTGTCTGTCCTGGCTCTCCTCTTCCTCTCTTTTCCTCTTCTGTCACTCCGTCTCTGCAAGCAGAACAGCTGGAGAGATAAAAAAGTGTTCCAACAGAAACCAGGCACTGCCAGTTAACCCAGCAGAAGAATTATATCACTCCGTTCCAATACCGGCCTTGACTCTTGGATCTTTATTTCACACAGCATTAATTCTCTGCCCTTGGAAAGTCTAACATGTTGTGCTTACATGCTTTACATTTGCATCATATTTACAACACATTATCTATATCGCTCATTTGAGGGTTGCAGGGGATTGGGGCTGAGGCGGGGGACATCCTGGACAGGTTGTCAGTGTAACACAGGGCCAACGTGTAGAGACAAAACAACTAGATCTATGTTGCATTACCTATCTGCATTATGTTAATGAAACTACGTTATGTCAGGTATAGAGTTTGATTGGCAATGGTGGTAAAGACAACTCCCATGATCCAACACTGCTTTATAACGTTCTGTTGTGAGACCCCAAGTGGCCAAGGTTAATCTTGATTTGACCCAATCCTATCACCCCATTTTTAAGTGATATTCCTTTTCTGTGATTAAGTCTGACGCATTATTATTGGTAGCATTGATATAGGGGAAAGGTTGGGTTGGGTTAGGTCGTCACACATTGACCTGCCGTGCCTGCACTCCACAAAACATTCTTGAGAGCCAATTCAAACATGACCTGCGGGCCGACCTGCAGATTATGCATCGACTCACGTCACAAGTATATAATGTTACTTTCAGAGCCTGAATTGAAGTTATTACTGTTTGTTTGCAGATCAAATAAAAATTGTATTATGTATTTGTTCATTATTCTGTCATAGTTGGTCTACAGAGTAAATCATAAAAAAAGCAAAAAATCTTCCATCATAAGTCGTTTTTATAAATTATATTGCTAAAATAATAGTTTTACACTTATTCATTCACTGCACAGCCTATTATCATAACCACACATGTCACTTCTTCTCTCTTTGCTCCATCCCACTCTCACTGATCTGCTCTCTGTGTTCAGCTTGTGTTGTGGCTCCCTCTCTGTGAATGTAAAAAAACATTCAGGGGGTTGACACAATGGTAGAAATAGAAAATAAAATTTACACAGATGCACGCAACCCATTCCTCTCATTCCCACTTCCAGTGGCCCAACATGACCCGCAGCCTGTCACATGACACGAATGCACCAAGAGCAAACCAATGGCGAAAAAACCCTCTGACATTTTCCCAAGCTTCCTACAGGCTTCATTCCTCACCCACTGTATCGGACAATTAACAGCTCTGAAGAACAAGAGAGATGGACGAACACACACTCACAGACAACAATGAATTCTCGGCAGACGCACACACACCCCACCCCTCATTAACCCACAAGTTGTTGTTTACCACACAACTTCTCCTGCTCCAGGACCCACACCACGCAGTCCTGGGTCGGCAGTTCAGACTCCCCATGAGGAACAGCAGTGAGACAGCGGAAAACAGAAAATGAGAAGGTTATGAGGCGGCAAGCACAGCTGGAGATGCTTGAGTGAGACCGCGGACAATCAGTGGCAGGCCGCAGTTTGAAGGTGAAAGTAAAAGTGGGGCAAGGTGAGCGTTAAGAGGGGAATTTATCACCAGACAGAGTCATTTCATATCAGAAAGACTCGCCACCTTGCAGCTGAGGTGATCTTGAAATATGGCTCTTGGGGATGAATGTAAAATTAGAGAAAAGACTGAAATGTGACCAAAGAAAGCAAATTGTGAATGATGTATACTCATATAGAAACAGTTGTGCTCGCATAAGAGGAACTGTCTGGCGTACGTGCTGTCGGACGATTCGAAACTTTTTCCTTCTTACCTTTCACTAACAAATGCCCTGAGTGTTGCTATGCACTTGGGAGATGTAACCTCAGAGTTCATGTCCTTACTCGATGATGATCCTCTTGTTGACCCTGATCTATTTAGCTAGCAAACGTCTTCTTTCACGCAGAAGCAAGAGCACACAGCTTCCTGTTTCAACCAGACTACAGGTGGCTTCAGTTTTCATGCTATTACTCAGAAACAGTTGTCTCTTATGTTTCCTGTTCACCCGACTGTATAAAAACCTTCTACTTTCACTATTCGAGGTGTTACACTCTGAGCATTCATGCTGAGTGTGAAACCCTCTGCAGAGCTCTATTAAAGACCCAAAGATAATTCAGGTCTGAGAAACTCTTTATTTCACATCTCGAGATAAATTTCCACCACAATGTTGACAGTGATGCTGAAACCCAGAGTCACAAAGTCAAGTCCATGTACTAAACTGTTTTTCCCTTTCTTTAATGTTGCAAGATCGATATTTCCGTTGATTTCAAAGAAAACAATTCATGGATCTTGATAAAAGAAAAAAAAACTGGTACATTTAGGAGTCTAATAATTATGAGTGTGTGCAATTTGGTGCAGATCTGAATAAGCTGATCTAATGAATTTAAATGTGGTTTCATGAGGGGACTGCTGAACCTTGGGGGAGATATTCTCTCTACTGAGTGACCCAATGGTTTTAGTTACAGTTTCTATTAATTACAGAATTAGACTTATGAAAGACTCATCTGACATGAATTTTCACTATTTCAATATTGATATTAATAAATAATAAATAGATTAAAACATTTTTTGCAGTGAATGCCCCAGAAAACTACTGATTTCCTCTCAACACTGGTGTCAGTGAAAAGTTAAAACTTCTCACCAGGTTCACAAAGTCCTGGTAGCAGATTTTCCCATCAGCGTTTCCATTGGTGAGGGCCAACAGGACTTCCAGTTTGTGGGGGTCAAGCTCGGAGCCGTGTGCTGCTAGAAGGTCCCTGAATCGCTCTGTACTGATGAAGCCCGAGTTCTCTGGGTCATACTGCAAATGAGCACACACAGACAAAGCAAAGTGAGACTAGTTCGATATGACCAGACCTTTATCTTATAATCTTTCCAGAGAGAATGGAAAAACAACAACAACACAAAACTGAAACAATAACTTGAAGCTAATTAAAATGTTCAGATGTGTTTTGCAGGCACAACAAACATGCAGTGGCACCAGATACAAACAAACATGTTAGAAGTTCACAAGCTTTCAGTATTCGCCTGCGGTGCGTAGCTTTCTGTGGAGCCAAACATCAAAAGCTCAAAACACCGTCAGCAGTGGAGTGGTTTAGTCATAGTTTGAGCATCTTCTAAAAAAAAGACATAATTGCTTCAAAAAAGCCTAAACACTGAGACGCAGCATTGACTTTGAACAGCTCTGGATTTCAGCGTGAAGTGACATTGAGTGCATTTAACCACAGGCTTTTTCAGCTTATATTCACAGCCAGAACAGAGGAGGCATTCAAATGTACCTGCAAAACACCGGATATTCCCACAAAACCAAAGCTATTTTTAAAAAAGACGGAAATTTAAAAGACCACCGGAGCAGTGATTACTGAGGCACTTTAATGGGTAAAAGGATCAGCACTTATCTCTGGCTTTGTTACCCCTGACATCATGGACCCACACTCTCTTTTCTTCACACTTGATGACTCACTACTTCAAATCAAGTGGTGATTTAGGGTGAAAACTTCCACTTGGAAATATACAAATTTAAACTAGATACCATACAGTTGTATGCCTCCACCAACCAGAGTAGTTTCTCTCTACATCATTTCTTTTTCCAGATTTATATAAGTCACCACCTTTGAGCAATGAAATCTTATTTCATCTTATAGTTTTCCTTGAGTCCAAGTGACAACTGGTCAAAATTACAAGAAATTCCCTACAGACAGACTTGAGATAAGCTCAAAAGTCCAAATACAAGTTTTCTGAGGCCACGGTGACCTTGACGTCTGACCACCGAAATCTAATCAATTAAGTCTAAGGGTTCCTCAAAGTTTGCCTCACCACAGGAGGCAAATGTTTTATTCACCTTCTCACTCTTGCAGATTTGAGGTGAACGGGGGGCAAATATGTGAGCGGGCCCTAAGTGAACATTTGTGTCGGCAAATTTAGAGACATTCATAACTCAAGTTTTTCTTAAGAAATCGTGTTCATGAGAACAGAAGGTCATACGACCTTGACCTTTGACCTTGGACCACCAAAATCTGAGTAGTTCTTTGTTCTTTGTGTGGTCACAGCGATCTTGACCTTTGACCACCACACATTCTCAGTTCCTCCGTGAGTAAAAGTGAAAGTTTGTAACAGATTTGAAGAAATTCCCTCAAGGGCTTCTGGGATAACGTGTTCACTGCCCCTGGTTATAGCTGGCACAGAGGCAGAGAAACATATACATGAAGACATTTTGCTTGTGTTTGATGTTGTGAACAATATAAAGGACAGACGCAAGCCGTAAGAGTGGCCTGCTGAGTGTGGGTCCTTTCTGTTTCTAATGCAACAGACTGCTGGTGATTCTGCCTGGCTTGCTGAAAATCAAGCTGCCCTTCATCCCCTAAAATAAGGACAAAACAGAAAATGTTTGCAGCTGAGTCTCAGTATTTGTCTGTTCGCCTGAGGACAAAACAACCTGGAATAAACAACAATCCGGGACATGTTTGTTTGATTTGAATGTTTTTGGATGTGGACAGAAGACAGCTGCTCTCTCTCTCTTTCTCTGTCCGTCTCTATGAGCCTGAGTGTGAGTATGTATGGAAGAGTGTGTGTTTGTATATTTGCAAATGTATTTGTGTGTTACTGTGGCCTTGTCTGTGTGTAAATACGGTGCATTCATGCATAAAGATGTGACATTCAGACAATATGAGCCGCTTGCCAGATTCAAACACCCCTGAAACAGAAACAGTCACCCTGTGTGTGCGTGCATGTGTGTGTGTGTGGGTGTATGTGTGTGTGTGTGCATGTTTTTGCCATATGTCGGTGTTGGCAGACGCTGAGTAAAGCCAGGCTGGCAGCAGGTGCTCTGTGCTCCACCAAATGACAACAGACAGAAGAGTTTTTGGCTCCGACTTGGGTTTTTGCTCTGTGTTACCTAACAGTGACAAAGCAGTTTTTTATTCTGTCACGACTGCAATTGTCAGTAAAACTCAGTTCCATCTTTGAAATATGGCTGAGAAAATCACTTGTTTCCCACATTTGAAATGAGATAATTATCTCCAAAACCCAGTGTGTCTTTGATAGATTACATTGCTGGTAAGTATGTTATAGTCGGTATTTAGAAAGAAAGAGAGATTGATTAGACATTCACAGGAAGTGAACGTCACTCTGCCTCATCCAATACCACCATCACTCCTGAAACAGGAGGAAGCAAGAGGCTTATGTTCTGTATACTACGCCCCTAAATTATCAGCATATATAAAAATGTATGTTCCTCAATACACACAAAAATGTCTATCTTAGTGAGGACTTTTCACACAATGCATTCCCTAGCATCAACCATTACAACAGCTTAACCACAACCCGTGAGTAGCCGTGTCACTCATGCACAGATGCAGCGTGAGAATGAGGAGAAGGTGTGCCATCTGTCCAAGCAACCAAATATCTGAGTGCAAGAGCACAGGTTGAGCCAAGACAGAGCAACTCTAAGCACAAGCAGTGGCTGCTAGAGTGCAAGCATTGCAAAATCCGAACATGAATTCAAATTAGTCCTGCTCTTAAACAGAAAGACCAGCTCTTGAATAAAGATAGAGAAAACACACACACACACACACACACACACACACATGCACACACACAATGCATGAATTGTAAACTACTCTACAGAAAGAACCAACCTTCTCTTGCAGTAAATCAGACAGCTTCTGCCGAGGATATTTTCTCATGATGAAGTAATGCAGCTAAAGCCAGTGTCACCACATGGTTCGTGAGCAAAAAAAAAAAATGGGTCGTGTGTGTCCTTGTCACATTGTTTGTCCGAGACTGTGCAGTGTTGTTTCCAACCAGGACTAAAGGATTACAGTCCAAGACCCTCAATATACACCTCCCCCATCTTAACCCCTCTCTCTCACACACACACACACACACACACCCCTAAAACCCCAGTCAGCCTCCTCTCACCCTCTTGCTCCACCCCACACACAACACCCCCTTTTTTTACCCTACATTCATCCACCTCTCCTTCACAGTCCCTCCTTCACTTTCTCTTTCTAGAGCAAAAAATGCGAGCGCCCTCAGAAGAAAAATAAACACTTCAATAAATTTGCCGTTATCTCTTCTGCTGTCACTCCTGGATGCAGGCAGCCATACATTATCTTCCTCACACACAAACACACAAACACACACACTCCCTTACTCCACTCTGCAACACCACAGGCTTCATAGTTGAGTGAGCACTCTCTGAATCCAACAGGCTGGCTGCTGGGGTGGAGTTTGCAGACAAATACAAACTCAACAGTGGGTCTCTTATGGCAATTTCATGCAAGGTTTCCCCATCGCCTTCACTGCAATTAGTGATCATTTCCTACTGATGCAGCCAAGAGATCCAGACCGGACGTTAGATGATACAAGAACAACTCTCCATCCAAGAGTCCTCAAGCTGTAGCACAGCAATAAACTAAAATAGTGATGTTTTCTCAAATAGTCTAGAATCTGGCACAAAATAGAGTAGAATGCCAGTCAATGATTTTCAGGTATACGGAAAATATGTTTGATCCCTCATCAAAGAAGACCAAGAAAACCAGCAAACTTTACAAATACTTGATACTTGACATTTTAAATTAAAGCCTTAAAAGATTGATCATATCAAAATGGCCAATATGCGTCTCTCCATCAAAAGGAGTTGCTAATTGGGTGTTTTTCCTTCGTTGTATGCCATTTGCTCTAGATGTTTTAGCACAGACAGTCAGAGCCAGAGGAAAAAGAAGATTTGATGCAATTAAAGGCGATCAAAATGAAACACCAGTTACCTTGAATAAATGATTTCTCCCGGTTTGAAACATTTTGGATATTGCAAGTTCTCCACTCAATAAAATAAACGATATAGCATAGGTCTAGTTGTTTTTAGGAAACATCTCCAAGCAAAATTTATACGCATTAAATCTGAGTCTACTCACAGTTTCAATTCTCCTTAGCTGCATTAACTGCATGTGTTCTCCTTATATTCAGATTTTGTAGTGATTTATCTTCTTTAACACTAGACACAAATCAGGTAAAGATTTGGAGTATTGGAGAACTTGCATATTAGTAGCTTGTGTAAGAATATTTATCAGATTTGGCTGAACTTATGTCCCAGCACATTTTTAATTTTCATAACCGTGTTATTGCTTGTGCTCCATAAGGCTTGATTTGCAAACAGCAAAATGAGTGTAATGCAAATCCCCCAGATTAAAATAAGCATGCCACGCACACTCACGCATTCTTGTACTTCTATAATAGTGAGGACACTCTTTGGCATAATGCATTTGCCAGCCCCTAACCCTAACTTTCACAGTTAAAAAAGTCTAACCTAAAACTAATTTTAACCACAACCTTAAAAGCAAGTCTTGATTTCTCAAACAAGCCTTTCAAAAAGTAAGGACCGAAAATGTCCTCACTTTCCAAAAATGTCTTCACTCCGTAAGGTCAAAATGGTCCTCACAAATATATAAGTAACACTACACACACGCACACAATCCTTCCACAGACATAATACCCCGAAACATGCACAACGAACAGCTCTCATATTGAGGGCATCTGAGCACCCTGGTGCAGAGGGAGAGGGGCAGGGAGTTAAAGAGTGAGGGGGGGGGGATTTTGGGGCCGTGGCGAGATGGGGTGGGTGGGGGGGAGTTGCAGATTGGACACAATGCTCGGCCTTTTGTCTTCAGCCTCATTTTCATAAAGCTGAATATATAAGGAACCGGAGGGTATAGGCAGTTTCTAAGGGTCAGGGAGTTTCCACGTTTGAATAAGAGCCTGAGGAAATGAAGCAGATCTGGTAAACAAAAAATATAAAAGAAA